CTACTTGGACTTTATGCATTTGTTCATAATATACACACATTTTCATTCATTTGTGATATAATTTCGAAAACCATACATTAGTACCAATCAATTCGTATGGCTTTATTTTCTTAAAATTCTTTTGTCGTTAGTTTCACGGGGAATGTAAAGATATGTACAGAAATAGTATTATATTATTTTTGATATTTTTAGGTTTTTAGAAATTCGTATACTCTTAAAAATAAATTGTAAATTTATTTACAGAGCATTTATTCGAAACGTAGAACCAGAGGCAGCTATTCTTGGTAAATACAAAGTAGCAATTGCTACCCCCCCTGAGACTTTATTTCCAGATGCTACTGTCGGTCCACTACCAACCGACAATACAACGCAACAAATCGTACCGCCGGTCAAAACACGACCCATTACCAAAACGTCAAGTGATAATAGCTATGATAATTTTTTAAAACTAAAATTTCAACATCACAACCGTGTACATTCTAAAGTTCATTATACTTTTCCGAAGTAGGGTCTACCACNCCTGAGACTTTATTTCCGGATGCTACTGTCGGTCCACTACCGACAGACACTACAACGCAACGCATCGTACCACCGGTCAAAACACGACCCATTACCAAAACGTCAAGTGAGTATAGCTATAATAATTTTATAAAACTAAAATTTCAACATCGCAATCGTGTACATTCTAAAGTTTATTATACTTTTCCGAAGTAGGGTCTACCACCATGACTGGAAAATCGCATCTGAATGCTACTGTCGTTCTGAGCAAGACTGATAGTACGACACAGTGCAACTTACCGCCGGCGAAAATACAACCAATTACCAATTCGTCAGGTAAGTAGAGCTATAATTAGTTTATTTATTAATTATTATAAAATTGAATCGTGTACATTATAAAGTTAATTATACATTTCCGAAATAGCGTCTGTCACTTTGACCGAAACAACGTATCCGACTGCTATGAAGCAACACATTCTACCACCAGCCAAAACACAACCCGTAACCATTTCGTCAAGTGAGTATAGCTTTAATTATATTATAAAACTAAATTCTCAACATCGCAATCGTGTTTATTATAAAGTTCATTATACTTTTCCGAAGTAGGGTCTACCACCATGACTGGAATATCGCATCTGAATGCTGCTGTCGTTCCAGGCAAGACTGACGGTACGACACAGCGCGTCATACCTCCGGCCAATACTCAATCTCCCATTGGCACTGATCCACCAAGTGAGAACAGCAATTATTATAAAATTGAATCGTGTACATTATAAAGTTAATTATACATTTCCGAAATAGCGTCTGTCACTTTGACCGAAACAACGTATCCGACTGCTACTACGCAACACATTCTACCACCAGCCAAAACACAACCCGTAACCATTTCGTCAAGTGAGTATAGCTTTAATTATATTATAAAACTAAAATTTCAACATCGCAACCGTGTACATTCTAAAGTTCATTATACTTTTCCGAAGTTGGGACTACCACCATGACTGGAAAATCGCATCTGAATGCTACTGTCGTTCCGGGCAAGACTGACGGTACGACACAGCGCGTCATACCTCCGGCCAATACTCAATCTCCCATTCGTACTGATCTACCAAGTTAGTACAGCAATTATTATAAAATTGAATCGTGTACATTATAAAGTTAATTATACATTTCCGAAATAGCGTCTGTCACTTTGACCGAAACAACGTATCCGACTGCTATGAAGCAACACATTCTACCACC